GCTGGGCATCTCCTGATCACGATGCCAATCTTAGGGATTCCCTTATGTGTTGAGGGCGCATCCCTAAGATTGTCATCGCCCTTTGGCGTGTCAATCTTAGGGATAGAGATCAGTTCGAGGCTGGTAATCGAGGCCAGAAGCTGTTGCAAATCACGTCGGGCTCGGGCTCCCGAGGCCAGATGTCCTTGCAAACTGAGCCCCCTTCGCTCTCTGAGAACGTAGCCAAGCGTCCAACAACAACACCAACACCTCCAAGGTGTTTGCTGAATGCGACTAATCTTAAGTCGGGCCTGTCCCCCTACGGGGGGATTTTCGACGGAAAATAAAAATACCCCCAGAACATGATCGACCCACGAACCCGGAAAGGAATATAGAAATGTAAGACATGGCAACGTTTCAAAGACACCTGATTGGGCGACGGGCAAATGCAATGCTTAGTGTATCGACCTTGATGTACCGTGCCGAGGGCTGTGCTGTGCTGTGCCGTGCTGAATTGCGATGTGCCATGCCACGAGTGTGCTCTATAGCGTTGTGGATCGAGTCCTCCTTTGCATCCGAGTCCTGACCGAACTGATCTGGATCTTAAGCTCGAGCTGCCTAAGCACATAACTAGTAGCTGCCCCAGAGCTGATTGACAAGGGAACATGCCAGGAGGACGCGCCGCAGAACGTCCCAAGGGACGCGCCAGGCGACGTGCCAGGGGACGTGCCATGGGGTCGCACCGCGGGACGTGCCAAGGGGACGCGCTACGGAATGTGCCAATGGACGTGCCACGGGACGTGCCAAGAGACGCACCAAGCGAGGTGTCAGGGGACGTGCCACGGGGACGCACCGCGGGACGTGCCAAGGGGACGCGCTACGGAACGTGCCAATGGACGTGCCACGGGACGTGCCAGGGGACGCGCCGCGCGACGTGCCAGGGGGACTCGCCACAGGACGCGCCACGGAACGTGCCAAAGAACGTGCCAAGTTGCAATGCTGAGTGAGTGTATCGATCTTGATGTACCGTGCCGCGGGCTGTGCTGTGCTGCGCCGTGCTGAACTGCGATGTGCCACGTGACGATTTTGCTCTATAGCGTTGTGGATCGAGTCCTCCTTTGCATCCGAGTCCTAACCGAACTGATCTGGATCTTAAGCTCGAGCTGCCTGAGCACATAGTAGCTGCCCCAGAGCTAATTCACGGGGGGCATGCTAGGAAGACGCGCCGCCGAAAGTTCCAAGGGACGCGCCAGGCGACGTGCCAGGGGACGTGCCATGGGGACGCACCGCGGGACGTGCCAAGGGGACGCGCTACGGAACGTGCCAATGCATTATGGACGTGCCACGGGACGTGCCAGGGGGCGCGCCGCGCGACGTGCCAGGGGGACTCGCCACAGGACGCGCCACGGAACGTGCCAAAGAACGTGCCAAGTTGCAATGCTGAGTGAGTGTACCGATCTTGATGTAATGTGCCGAAGGCTGTGCTGTGCTGCGCCGTGCTGAACTGCGATGTGCCATGCCGCGATTGTGCTCTACAGCGTTGTGGATCAAGTCCTCCGTTGCATCCGAGTCCTGACCGAACTGATCTGGATCTTAAGCTCGAGCTGCCTGAGCACACAGTCCACGAAGTAGCTGCCGCAGAGCTAATTCACAAGGAATTATGCCAGGAAGACGCGCCGCGGAACGTTCCTAGGGACGCGCCAGGCGACGTGCCAGGGGACGTGCCACGGGGACGCACCGCGAGACGTGCCAAGGGGACGCGCTACAGAACGTGCTGGGGACAAGCGTCGTGTTGGTGGCCTGGACACGTAAAAACACGGTGCCAGCTCGGGACAACCATGAGAGATACCCCCTGGGTGGCCTGGACACGTAAAACACGTGGTTCCAGCTCGGGACAATCATGTTAGAGATCTCCCTGGGTGGCCTGAGCATGAAAAAACACGTGGTTCCAGCTCGGGACAGCCATGTTAGATACCCCTCTGCGTGACTTGGATACGCTGAATTCGCGCTCCCGCTCGAGACATCCTCACAACGTCTTCCCTGGAGAGGCCCCCAAAGCGCACCCCCCTGTTCAGAGCAAGAAGCCATCACTTTTCCTCATAATTCGGCGTTGGGCCCGACGCCATGTTAGATACCCCAACTCTGCAAAACCAGCGTTTCGCTCGAGACATCCTCAACAAATTCTGAAAAGCAAGCGTTTCGCTCGAGACATCCCCCAACTCTGCAAAACCAGCGTTTCGCTCGAGACATCCTCAACAAATTATGAAAAACAAGCGTTTCGCTCGAGACATCCTGTCAAAATCCCAAGAAATCCAAATACCCGCGCGCGGGACGCGGCACGCGCGAGACATCCTCAGAATTCCTGCGCGAGGGGCGCTTTTCCGTGTCGCGGTCGGCTCTGCAAAACCAGCGTGTCGCTCGAGACATCCTCAACAAATTCTGAAACCAAGCGTTTCGCTCGAGACATCCCCAACTCTGCAAAACCAGCGTCTCGCTGGAGACATTCTCAACAAATTCTGAAAAACAAGCGTTTCGCTCGAGACATCCTCAAAAATAATTCCGCCGGCCCTACTCCCGCACGTAATTTATCGCAGAATCATTTCGCCGGCCCAAGTCGCAGGGGGGCCGGGGGGTTAACCTGCTACATGATCGACCCACGAACCCGGAAAGGAATATAGAAATGTAACGCATGGCAATGTTTTCAAAGACACCTGATTTGGTGACGGGCAAGTGCAATGCTGATTGTATCGATCTTGATGTACCGTGCCGAGGGCTGTGCTGTGCTACACCGTGCTGAATTGCGATGTGCCATGCCGCGGTTGTGCTCTATAGCGTCGTGGATCGAGTCTTCCTTTGCATCCGAGTCCTGACCGAACTGATCTGGATCTTAAGCTCGAGCTGCCTGAACAAATATTAGCTGCCCCAGAGCTAATTGACAAGGGGGCATGCCAGGAGGACGCGCCGCGAAACGTCCCAAGGGACGCGCCAGGCGGCGTGCCAGGGGACGTGCCATGGGGTCGCACCGCCGGACGTGCCAAGGGGACGCGCTACGGAACGTGCCAATGGATGTGCCACGGAATGTGCCAGGGGACGCGCCACGCGACGTGCCAGGGGGACTCGCCAAGGGACGCCCCACGGAACGTGCCAAGTTGCAATGCTGAGTGTATCGATCTTGATGTACCGTGCCGAAATCTGTGCTGTGCTGCGCCGTGCCGAATTGCGATGTGCCATGCCGCGATTGTGCTCTATAGCCTCGTGGATCGAGTCCTCCTTTGCATCCGAGTCCTGACCGAACTGATCTGGATCTTAAGCTCGAGCTGCCTGAACACATAGTAGCTGCCCCAGAGCTAATTGACAAGGGGACATGCCAGGAGGACGCGACGCGGAACGTCTCAAGGGACCCGCCAAGCGACGTGCCAAGGGACGTGCCATGGGGACGCACCGCGGGACGTGCCAAGGGGACGCGCTATGGAACGTGCTGGGGACAAGCGTTTCGCTCGAGACATCCTGCCAACATCCTCAGAATTCCTGCGCGCGGGACGCGGCACGCGCGAGACATCCTCAAAATTCTTGCGAGCGGGACGTGAAAACAAGCATTTCGCCTGAGACATCCTCTGAATTCTGGACCCCCCACGAAGACCCCCACGAGGCCCCCGCTCGAGACATCCCCCAATTTTGCAAAACCAGCGTTTCGCTCGAAACGTCTTCAACAAATGATGAAAGACAAGCATTTCGCTCGAGACATCCTGCCAAAATTCAAGGAAATCCTGGCAAAACAAACGAATTAGTCGAGACATCCTCGAAATTCCTGAGGGGAGGGAGGCACGCGCGAAACATCATCGGAATTCCTGCGCGCGGGGCGCTTTTCCGCGTCGCGGTCGGCTCTGCAAAACCAGCGCTTCGCTCGAGACATCCTCCAAGAATTATGAAAACAAGCGTTTCGCTCGAGACATCCCCAACTCTGCAAAACCAACGTTTCGCTCGAGACATCCTCAACAAAGTCTGAAAAACAAACGTTTCGCTAGGGACATCCTCAAAGATAATTCCGCCGGCCCTACTCCCGCACGTAATTTATCGCAGAATAATTTCGCCGGCCCAAGTCGCAGGGGGGCCGGGGGGTTAACCTACTAAAAGAGAACCCTGGGCCCGCGCCCTTTCCGGGAAAAAGAGAACCCTGGGCCCGCGCCCTTTCCGGGAATAATCAAAAAATAGTCCAAAAATAGTCTGGGGACAATTTTTGTATTTTGTTTACCTTTTTTGTGTATTTTGGGGGCATTTTCATTTTTCGTCGAAAATCCCCCTGTAGGGGGACAGGCCCGGCTTAAGACTAATCCTCGCATGATGCTCCCAGAAGTGTTCAAAACAGCGCCGACATGACCCAGCATAGCTCTCACGACATCTCCCATTACAACACTGAGGGGGCCAGCGGCAGAGAGCGAAACCATCACGGAGAAATCGTTCGGGTGTTGCTAGAAGTGCCCCTGGCCCAAGGTGCCCCCAGGATTTCCACGGAGGCCCCCACGGCCTCCAGAGCACCCCTCACGAGGCCAGAAGGACCAGGGGCTCAAAGATGGAGCGAAAAGCTGGGCGCACCTCAGGCCAGGGGCACTTTCAGAAACCCCCGAAGTGTGAGGAGGTCTCAGGCGAGACCGCTGCCGGCATCCATGCTCTCGGGCTGCCTGTCCCACGTCTGTGGGAATCTTCCGCGGTCGGCTTGCAATGTTTTCACCACTATGAGAGGCGTTTATGGCGAAAACCGGGGATGGACAGACCCCCCTTTAGTTTAACGTGGTTTAGTGAAAACGACCTGAGGCCCAAACCTGGTGGGCGCAAGCCTCGAAAATAACGGCCACGGCGCCCTCTCGAGAACCGAAAACGGACAATTCACTAATCGAGGTGTCACTGTTGGGGGTTCTGTCCACCCCCGAGAAACTCCATCAGGGAACATCTTTTTCATCTGAGCACGAGCGAGGTATCGTCGCCGACTCGCAGTGCTGGCCGCCCCCCTACCCCGCGGCGGCCTGCAGCACCGCCGCGAGGCCCGACAGGGACTCCGCCCCGCCCGCGACGCCTCGGCGGCGGCGGCGCGGGGACGCCGACGGCCACGACGGCGACCGCGACCACGACCACGACGGACACGACGACCACGACGACCACGACAACGACGACGACCACGACGACAACGCCCACGGGGCCACAACGAACGCCAACCACGGCCACGACGACAGCGACCACGACGACCACGACCACGGCCGCGACGATAACGCCAGCACCAGTTCCCCCAAAAAATCGTCCTTGGTTTGGGGCCGCATTACGAGATCTAAACCACCGCTCAGGAAACTCCGTGCACACACATTGAAACCCTTCGCACCCTAAATGTCGCAGCTTCATCGGCCCACGTATAGCCTTCGCTGTCTCGGTGCACTTCATCGAAGGCACAAGGGTGATCAGGATGGTTGAGTCGATGAGCTGTGCTCTCCTCTCTCCGCCCTCCCTGTCTTCGTCCCTCCTCCACATCATCTTCGGTCGTGGTTCCCCCCACACCCACACCCTCCCTCTTGTCACTCCTTCCACCGCTCCTCCCCCTCAGACTCTTTTGTAGTCATGAATATGAGCAGCACGTGCAACTATTGATGGCAGCATTCATACCCACCGACAGCAGCAACAACATCACAACCATCACCACCACGAGTCCTACTCCTCATGATCATCATCATCATCGCCAGCATCATCACCATAGTCGTCGTCCTGAGGGTCGTCATCGTCGTCATCATCAGCATCAACATCATCACCATCATCATCATCATCGTCATCATCATCAGTATCATCATCATTATTTTTACAATCAGTAAGGTCATCATCAGCATCACCACCAACATCATTGTAATCATCATCATCAGCATGATCATCCACCTGATCATTAGCATCGTCATCATCATCACCACCACCATCACCAGCATCGGCATCAGCATCATCAGCATCATCATCGTCGTCGTCGCCCTCATCAGACACAGCATCATCAGCACCACCGGCTCAGCATCGTAATCAGCAGCGTCATCACCATCATCAACATCAAAAACATGATCGTCAAGATCATCGTTCTCATCACCCATTCTGTCGCTATCAACATCGGCACAACCGTCATCATTATCAACGTTATCACCATCTTCATCCCGGTCCGCATCGTCATCTTCGCCATCACCTTCAAACCATCGACGACAACCTCATTACCAACATTTGTCGTCACCATCTATGTATCACCAACTACAAAATGTCTCAAATTGTTCACAGGCGCCACCTACATTACCACAATCTTGAATTTTCAGCTGCTCGTCCTGCTGTTCCTCCTACGTCGTCCAATTTACTGCGCCCTCGCCTCTCTGTCCTCCTCCTCCTCCTCCTCATCCTCCTTCTCACCCCCTCCCCTCCTGACCCTACTCTTGGTCCCGCTGACCTCCTTTACCCCCATCACCCGCTCCTTATGACCCTCCTCCTCAGTCATCATCCCAATCATCCTCATTATCATACCCCTCATCATCGCCATCATCATCACCACCACCATTATCATCGTCATCATCAGCATCATCAACACTATCGTCACTAGCACCACAACCACCATCGTCGTCGTCATCGTCGTCGCCGTCGATCATCATCATCATCAGTATCACCACCACCATCGTCATCATCACCAACAAGAACACCACCATCATCATCACCACCATCATCAGCATCATCAACATCCACATCACCATCAACATCACCAGCATGATCAGCAGCAGCATCATCGTCGTCATCATCAGCATCATCACCATGACCATGACCATGACCATGACCATGACCATGACCATGACCATGACCATGACCTTCATCATCATCATCATCATCATCATCATCATCATCATCAGCATCAGCATCATCATCATCATCATCATCATCATCATCATCATCATCATCATCATCATCATTATCAGCAGCAGCAGCAGCATCAGCAGCATCCTCCTAATCCTCAACGCCTTCCTTCCGGGACGACGAGCGGCGACGACCGAGGAACCTGGCCGACGACGATCACCACCACAGCTGAGGAAACCACAAGGTACCGACACCGCTGCTCCCTGGACCTCTCCATGGGGCGCGTTCTGAGCAGGACCTCGAGGCGAATCCGGCCGTGGCGACGAGGGAAGGGCAGCCGGCGCGCGCTCTGACCAGGACCTCGAGGCGAATCCGGTCGTGGCGACGAGGCAAGAGTACTCCAGATTCCGTAATAAATGGGAGGGGGTCTGGACCCTCCAAGACGAGCCATTTCAGACCTCCCCCGTGGGAGAACCCTCCAAAACATCGTCCCCAGACCCCCCAGGCGCTCCAAGATAGCCTGGAAGAGACCCCCCCGAAATGAGACCCCCCTCCTTTTACTACGAAATCTGGAGTAGCCGGCGCGCGTTCTGACCAAGAGTTCGAGGCGAATCCAGCAGCGGCGATCAAGGAAAGGTGGCGGTATCGGCATATTCTTCTAGGGCGGCTATAATCGAAAATGATGGCAAGGATGCGGGGCAAAGATACAAGCCCCTTGGGCGCCCGTGCTGGAGCTCTTCGAGCGCGGCAGGCCATCGAAAGTGGTCAAGGATGGACCAGAGAAGCACGGATGCCAGGGTCCCCTCGGGAAGGCTACCCATCCTCACCATCGGTTCCCACTGCACGCCCACGGCGGCGGCGGCGACCACGGCGGCGACGGTGACGGCGGCGCCCACAGGACCCCCACCGAGCCGCGACGGCGGCGCCGCGGCAGACTGCGACCACGGCCGACGGCCGCGACCGCGGCGAGGGCGGCGAGCGGCGAGCGGAGCGCGGGGGCCCCGCGGGCCCCGGCGCGGCGCGCCTCGGCAGGCCGCCGCCAGCGGCGCGGAGTGGGGCGCCTCGTCGGGCGAGCACCTGGCGCGCGCGCGCGAGCTCGGCTACGTCGGGGCCCCGTAGACCCGGCCACGCTAGACCCGGACACCCAGCATCCCTCGAGACCAAGTTTTCCAGACGGAGGCACAAGCAACAGACTGCACTGCAGCATTTTCAGAATAAGCCCGGGCACGGGCCCTCAAAGCCTGCAAGAGCCCCCCCGAAACCCGGACACAAACCCGAGTCCTGCAGCGCAGCAACCAGAAAAGGCACAGGTGCTGGAAAGTGTGACTTTGCAGGGAAGGGTGTCGTTTCCTTGGTTTTCCGTGTCCTGGTTTATCTGTGTCCTGGTCTCCAGGGGCCTGACTACGGCAACCCGCGGCGAGACCGGATCGGATCGGAAGCAGTCCGCCAGCGAACTGCCCCGGGTCGAAGCGAAATCGGAAAGCCGTGCCTGGCCGACGTATACGCAGACGCCCTCCGACGAATCTTGCATGTACCCTCTGGGAGGGCGGCGGTTTACAAAGTCGCTCGCTCTCAGTGGAAATCTATACACCGCCGCCCTCCCCTGGGGCCCAGGAACACTCCATTGGAGGGTGTGGTCGGAAGAAGTAGGTAAAAACATGACGTAGGAAGGCGGATTAAGTTGATTGGGCCCAGGCCCCCCCAGAGAATCACAAAACACGGCAAAAGCGTGTCGATTCTTGAAGCAGGAAGGCGCTTGAAGTAGATTGGGATCTGGGAATCCAAAAAAATGCCTACTTTCAACGACCGGCGTGTATATGTTTGCGTGGCGGATCTGCGCGCGCGTGTCCCCGCTGGTAGACCTCTGGGGGCCTCGCCGTCGCGCCTCGCGCGAGGGGCGGTGCGGCCAGAACGGGGCGGACCAGAAAGGAACGGAAGGGGCGGAGGAGTGACGAGCAGGAGCACCACAGGGAGAGGGAAGCAAGGGGGAGGACGGAGGGACGCAGGAGGACACGACGACGACGACGACGACGACGACGCTGGCGGCGGCGGCCAGCACCACAACGACGATGCCGACGGCCAGCGGCGACGGCGACGGCAGCTCCCAGCGGGCGGGCCGAAGCGGCGGGGCGCGGCGGCGGCCTGCTGCACGCGAGCAGGGCCACGGGCGCGTCGTCGAGCACCTGGCGCCGGCCTCGCCCTCGTCCTCGGATGCCGGCCTCGCCCTCCCGAGCTTCCCAGTTCTCCTCCTGCCCTCCTCATCGTTCCCCCGCTACCCTAGATCCTCCTGCTGCTCCTCCTCCTCCTCCTCCTCCTCCTTTTCTCCTGCTACTCCTCCTCATCATCATCATCCTCCTTCTCCTCCTGCTCCTCCTGCTGCTGCTGCTGATGATGCTCCTCCCCCTCCTCCGCCTCCTCCTCCTCCTCCCATACTCCTCCGCCCTTCCGTCCTCCGAATTGATTACCCGCACCCTCATGCAGCGCGCCCCCGGACCCCACACCCACCCCAACCCCTGGCGCCCATCCTGGCCCTCACCTTTCGCGCTGAGTCCAGCCGAGGCGACTGGGACGACCAGAAGACTCCAACAACAGAGGAACACACAACTGCACGGACATCAAATCTTTGGTGGGGAGCTCACTGGCGCGCGGGGCGCGCCAGGGGCGGCGCCCGAGGCGCCGTCGTGAGGTTCCAGTACAGATCCAAGGAATCCGCGCGGAGCTCCGACAGTGTACGTTTACAGTCGGGGCGCGGACCTAAGGAACTCTAGAGAAGGAACGAAGCCCCTTTTTCCCAAAAGTTGAACTTCGATTCCCTATGGAAAACCTTCGGGAAACCGAATGCAATCTGCACAATAATCAAGGAACACCGAGCCCCTCCCCAATGAAAAGGGTTCCTTCTTCAGCGCCCCGACTCTATGCCGTCAGCTGCCTCTCGAGAAAAGCCCCCGAGACATCGTCGGCGGCGGGGGCCGGCGCGGCCTGCTCCTCCGAGCAGCCCAGCGCCACGGCCCGGCCGTATCTCCACTCCACGGCGGCACGCAGCGCCCGATCGTCCTCCGCGCACAGGGCGTCGACGACCACGCGAACGACGACGACGACGACGACGTTGACGTCACGACGTTGACGTCAAGAGAAAGACTACCGATGGGGCAAATGCACACGCAGTACTAAACTAGATGCGCGAAGCCGCAACTCACGCAATATTGCGTGTCAGTCCCGAGAATCGGGGGCGGCCAAGAGGGGGGTGTCCAAGAGGGGGGGGTGCAAATCATGGCTGGCGGCACGTGCGCGGCCCAAAGGGGGCCAGGGAACGTATTGAAATAAGAAGAGGCGCCACGAGATCTGGGAAAATGGCATGGCCACCGCCATGATATCCACACACCCCTAGTCATCACCCCCCTCTTTGCCGCCCCCGAGAGAAAGGGTGCACTGGGCCAGCATGAACATAACGTTCACGAGGACGCTAACGTCGATGACGACGACGCTGGCGTCGAAGTTGGCGGCAATGACGACGTCGCCGCCTCGCCGCACCGGGCCCCGTGGGCGTTGGCAACGTAGCAGTCTTGGCGTTGGCGTTGCCG